TATTTTGTCGCAAGTCATATTGTTATAATTTCCTTTTCTAGGTTTTACTGAACGCTAACAGCACTACATAATTTATGATCTAAAGATAAACTTATCTAATATTTTATTATATTTAGGATCCTGATTTTAATTTGCCAAATAGTTTTATTAAGGACTTTTATAATTCTAAAAAAATCCTGTTAAAATCAATGATTACCGAGGTTAGTGCGAACACCATTCATGAAGTATAGAAGATTATGGACATACGGACCGAAAATAGCAAGCACATATATTTTATTGTAGTGGTTAATTCTATTTTATACCTTTGTTCATGTATATCTAACATATATCAAGATATTATATGCCAATACTATTTTAGAGTAATGATATATTTCAAAATAGCAGGATTTCACATTCAAATTATATCTGCATAATGGTATATTAATGAGCAAAAAAACTGTGATACTACTCTAGAAGCTTGCTGCTTTACAAATCAAAAATCTGCAAAAAATTGATTGGATGAAATATTAGTTCCAAATATTTCAACTATACCTAAAACAGTTAGTACAGTTTTACACTATACAGTATATAAAAAACTTAAATATAGTGAAATTTGGAGACTTGTATAACAGGTGGCTCAACTTGCTATTGAATGTAACAATCATCAAGAAATAGTAGTATGGTTAAAACAATTTATTGATCGGCAAAAAGAAATGAAGGCTTCATCTACTAAAAAATGAAACCGAGAATCCATCAAAGAGAATAATGTTCATAATGTTAATATCAATGATGAAGATGAACTTGAGCAAGTTAAAAATCCTTTATATTATGGTATAAAGGATGTTCAGTGACCAAATGTTATAAATCAGCAACTGAGAAAAAGCAAAAACCACATGCAAAATATACCTGTCATACATGCGATCAAGCAGAACACAATATCGCAAGATGTTAAAATCACTAGATATTTATTTAAATGTTTGTCTTGTTATTTTTTTTGTCTTGCTCTGCTAAAATAATTCTAATTCTATTATCACTAAATCAACTTGGAAAAAATCTGGATTACCACTACACATATTCTAAATTAGAATTTATCACCATGCCCATTCTCAAAGTAGAATCTACTGCTACACACATTCTCAAAATAGAATTATTGATTATTATACATAAAGATAGTAGTACTGTAATCACATTGTAGTTACATGATTTTTATAAAAATTATAATTGCAATTCCTGAATTCAAGTTACATAGAATGTTTTTTTTTTAACTTTATTATTGATAATTGAAAATATATTGACTTTAGTAGAAACTAATCAATTTTCACATATTAGTTTTATTACTTGGCATTAGCATTAGTTATTTTCGTGGGTATACTAGTGTGAAAAGTTAAAGCATGAGAAAACTAATGCTTAAATTGACATTGACGCATCAATTAAATATAAATAATGAAAATGAAATTTTATATTATTATAGAACAGTTTTATTTTATTAGTTTATTATTTTATCTTAGTATTATTTTATTATTTCGATATTTGT